GAGTAGGTGTACTAATTGTTATTGGCCAGCACATCTTGCAGTTGCATCCATGTGACTGAGAGATGTTAGCAGCAGTGACCAGTATGTGTTGCTTACTTTGGTACTGAAAAAATATGCTTTGTTTAACAAATTAAGAGCAGTTATTAAGGTGATCGACTGATTTTGAGAGTTGGAGCCCAGGATTAAGAGAAAACCTGAAGTTTTCTGTCAGTTTGAGTTTTGGACTATGTGCACCATGGAGATTGCAGGCAGCAGCATGTGGCCTGCATGCAAAGCACAGAGAGGCAGCCTGTGGGTCAGCCTACAAGCCCCTGGCAGGACTGTCAGTGCCTGATGTGCCACATGGCTGGTAGACTGATCCCACCCAATGAGCCATCTCTTCAATCCCTAACTCTTCTTATATAATCCTGGAGTACAATCCTAGAGAATGGTGCCATTCATAGTGTGGAGCATGACAAAAAAAAAAAAAAGTCTGAGGACTTCTGGATGAATTTGGAATATGTAACTTGGACCTTTGTGGCATCCAGTCATTCTTGTGACCCAGATCTGCCCCAGGAAGCTTCCTGGTTCTGCATGGATTAACTGTATAGCTACAAAGTTTCTGTTCCCTGTCTCTTGTCCTTCCCACTGGACAACAATGGATCAAAACAGAACATTCTTGCACTTGACATCACTTTGGGTAGGTTACTGTCATCCCTTCTACTCAGATAAAGATCAGAATGATTGATGTTTCACCTTCTTCACATACCACATTACATTTGTTTTTGAGATTGAAGTCTGTTCTTACTAGAGCAGTCTGTTTATGTATATTAGATATAAACTTGTAGTCTCTGGGTTATATAATTTTCTTTTGTCTGTTACATGAAGATATGAATGGACTACTTCATAGCATTCCCAAGAAACATTTATGTTCCAGGGAATACATCAAAAGTAAGTAACAGTAGAGGAGAGAGAAAAAGGGCTGTAGCATCTCATTCCCTTTGTGTCCTTCCTGGTCTTTCTTACTGATGTCCTCAGATGGCATCCTGCCATTTCCAACTTCTAATGCTGCCCGTATTAGTCCAAGGTGTACTGACTCACCATTTGTTTCAGCACTGTGTGCTTATTGTTCTAGATGCCTACAAATAGGCTTCACTTCCTACTTCTGTTTTCTAGGTCTGAGATCTTGTATCTGCCAATTTCTTTCCTGAGATTATTCGGCTCTACTTGGGCTCTAGACAAAGAAGGATCCAGAGTTGTTTTTTGAAGAAATTGGAATGGTGACCACTTGTCAGATCTTTGAGCACTGTAGCTCTGGGTTCTCATATGTAATTCTGTCCTCAAGTCCAGATTGGGAAATAGGCTTCAAAAATAAACAGCCTTCAGAGAACAAATTTAAGTGATCTTGAAATCTAAAGTAACTACTTGATTGCTACACTCTGAATACATTCTTCCAAAATTCACGTTGAAATTTAATCTCATGGCAACACTGCTAAGAGATGGGATCTTTCCAGTTATAGCATCACAAGGCCCTCTCATGAATGGACACATCTCTAGCCTTGTTAAAGAAATTTGTTGGTGTATATGTAAAAATATTGATTTTGTATTGAAACTTCATTGTGAACATTATACCTAATAAAACTGGAGGTTACACACACACACACACACACACACACACATACACACACAAGAAATGTTAGCTTTATCTACCATTGGAAGCTTTCGTATTCTACTCTGGAAGGATACCAACTCACATGCTAAGTAAAGCCCAGCAACCAGATTCTGTCTTAGACGGAAGGACCATTCTCACCACTCATCCCAGTTGGCTAGCAACAGCTGCCAGAATTATAGAAACTACATTTCTTCTCCTCAGATAACTTGCTTATGGGGATTTTGTTACAATAGGACAGATTATTAAAACAGTGCTCCAGGGAAAGTGTCATCATTTATTCTGGGGTATGTTGAGCTGGAAACTTTCAGCTAGTGTTGTACTCATTAGCTGCGTACTTTACCTTCTCATACTCTCCATCCAAAATCCTTGGAAAACCAGCATAAGCATTTAAAGTAGAACAGAATTCTCTAAAGTGAGTGTTGGTTGTAACATCTTGAAGCTGTAAACACATACAAACCAGGAGCACCGCAGTCCAGTCACTGAAAGACTCAATCAAACTCCCAATGAGAACTGTTCACTCTCTTTTTTCCTCTTCTCTTCCCCCCCCCTTTTTTATACAAAAAGATAGGGTTTGAGGAGGCTTATTCAGGAGCAGTTCCCATTTCCAACCACCATCTTGAGAAATATTTATTTTATTTATTATTCTACTCGATTTCCTTCTGTGATTAGAATTTGCAAAAAGTCCATCCTGAAATTCGCTATGAGCTAGAAAGAAACAATAGACTGTGAATGTATTTTGCCAACTGTAAGTCACACAGGCAACAATTTATACAGAAATCAGATTGTGGGTAGTCAGAATGAGGCTTGGCTTCTATTCCTGGGATGTGTGTAGCTATCAGAGGTTTCACAGATCTGAAAGGTTGTCAAGAATCCTGATGATCTTGGTTGTCAACACAATTAGATCTGGATTCAACAAAGCAACATGGCACTGGGCAGGTCTGTGAAGGTATTTCCTGGAGGGGGAAACTTCCTAATCTTTGGAAGGGAAAGGCACTTCTTCAAAGTAAACAGCACTTCCCAATGGTACCCCACATACGTAGAAGTTCAAGGAAAAGGCTATTGTTTCATGCTTGCACACCTTACTCCCTTGCTTGTAAGTGCACTGTCTGTTGTGTTGTTGCTTCTCCCACTATCCCCTTCTGACATCAGCACTCAGTTACCTCAGCCTTCCAATGTGAACTGAAAACCAGGGGCTTGTAATGATCTTCCAAGCCTTCTTTATCAGGTTTCGATGCTGAGAGTACAGCCTTATGGATGAGTAGTGGCCAGACTCTTAGCCTTTCCAGCATGCGGCTAGCCATTGTAGGACTACCCAGAGTGCATCATGCCAGACAATCTACAAATATTTTCTTAGTATATATTCATTTTGTGTGCTCTCTTCCTCTAAGAAGACTTTTAAGTTGCTTTCAAGTCTGAATTTTTTTCCTAATTTAACAGGCTTCTCCAGTCTATTGGATTCATAAGTTCACCAAAATGGACTCCATTTTAGGCCATGTGATATATTTTACTAATATTATTTTACTAATATAAAAATCACTTCCTACATCAAGAAAAGAGACTCAGGAGCAGTCATCTCTGAAGTTTTCCCAAGGATGACTTTCCTTATTTATTTTTTGCCTTATTATGTTAATTTTTTAAAAAATAAGTGCATTTTCTCACTTATGAATTCTGATTAAGAAAAACATTAACATTTGAATTAATAGAACAATAGACTAGAAATTTGTATCTACCTAAAAGAATTTAATCTCATCACATAAGTGCAAATCTCAGAGTGGAAAGCTCTCTTCAAAGAAAACTTTCTTCAAACTTCATACCATTTAGACAGGAACAGTGTTTGCAATGAGGATTGTCTTCAACTCTGTGGTTATTTCTAGGGAAGCTGCATTGAACAATGTATGCATCTGAGTTTGGACTCAAAGCTCCACTGGAGTCCAGTATTGAAAGGAAGAAAATAAGACATTCTTGTGCTTAAAACAGTAGGTGTTTCCAAACTTATTTTATTTAATAGCTTCCAATGGCTGAAGATTTCCATATCAAATAATTTTTTTATCAGAAAATGTACCTAAAATAAATTTAAGGATGTTTTTAGGAAACTTAATACTCTTTATGGGGACAGGATGTTTTGGATATTTTGTTTTTGGGACTTTGTGGTACCTGGTTAAATCATTTATGTAGCAGTAAATCATGCTTTGGGGAAATGTTAGCAAAATAAAACATAGTCTTCATTTCTTATATGGACAAAAGAAAGCTCTTGGTCATGTTTGAAGTGATAAATAAGACAAATTATCACTTATATTTTTCTATTTGGTTTGGGGATATAAGGCAATATTAAAAATGTACATACACACACACACACACACAGAGAGAGAGAGAGAGAGAGAGAGAGAGAGAGAGATGACCTCAAGTATTCTGCTTGAAGATCAGTTAGAAGTTTCAATAATCCTTTATAAAACAGGAAAAATAAGGCGTTTTTTTTTTCATTTTTTTCAAAAGCTACTAGGGAAAACATTTCTAAGTAGATATTCCTAACAAAATATTCCTGTAAATGGTTACACATATCCTTAAACCTAGGGATGGTGGCATAATGAAAGGTTATGCTCTGGGAAGAAAAAGTCTATCCAGAATAGAAAAAGGACCAGTTACAAATCACAAGAATTCAAAAGAAAAAACTTTCAACAATAAGAATTTCCATTTATCTGTTTTTTTTCATAAAATTTATAAATAGCTTTAAAAGAGAACATAGACTAATCAATTTGTTTTAGTTTCTTCAGTTTTCTAATCAAGGAGTTGGACTAAATGCTAATTTTTCAGTTGTAGTAGTCTATGATTCAAGCTAATATAAGATATTAAAATGGTCCCATTGGTTTATTCAAATGATAATAGAAAAGGCGGGCTTAAACTTACAAAGCCTGGCAATGTAATTATTTTCGTTTTATTGATAACAAAAAGTATTAAGTGATGAAAGATATTATCCAAAGTTTGAATCCTCTCAGTTTCTAGTCAGTACCCCTGTTTCCAAATCAGCCTGGCCATCAAATATATTACATTGTTTTGTTTTATTAAAGATTCCAGGAATCTCAGATCCCAACTGCTAGAAATCTATTTTTATTATTTTTAGGCCTTCCCATTTTTAAAGGAGAGCTCAGAATTCTGGCTTGATCATAGAAACAGGGGGCTACCGATCAATCCCAGACTGCCTGGGATACAGGGGTGCTGCCTGAGACATTGCCTGGGACAAAAGGTTGCAGGGAAACAGACATGAACACAGCAGAGACAGGGGGCTACTGATCAGTCCCAGAATGTCTGGGATACTGGGGTGCTGCCTGGTATACAGGGGTGCTGCCTGGTATACAGGGGTGCTGCCTGGTATACAAGGGTGCTGCCTGGGACACAGAGGTGCTGCCTGGGACACAGAGGTGCTGCCTGGGACACAGGGGTGCAGGGAAACAGACAATAGCTTTAGCTTATCATTTCAACCCAAGGAACCATTTTTCCAGGGTTTTCTCTTCTCTAGGGTTTAAAGTATAGAGCAATTAACACCCAATTTCTTGGCTGCTCTCCCGTGGTAGGAAAAAGTCCTTTAAGAGTGGGAGAGTGGATCTATAACCTTCACTACGTGTGCCAAACTCACACTCTAGACACTTAATTCCACTTAAGCCCTGGAAACCTTTTACTGTAAACCACAAATCTAGCCATCACCACGCCACAGTCTCAAGCCTTTTAAGGCAATCTGTGATTTACAAATTACTTATTTTACTTCAGGGAATGGAATTATAAGGTGGATTCCTTTTAGTGGCTACAGTATCATAAGGAGAAAGCCCACTGAATTTGCTAGGCATGACAATTTCTTTTTGGGTGAAGTAGATTAATACTAACCATGTAACACAATTGCTCTTAAATGAGAACAATTTACAACAAAGTTGTTTTAAGATCGGCCATGTGAGATTCTGCGGATCTCAACTTTCCTACTTCTCCTATGCCACTTATCAATATAGATTTCATACATCTGGTGTGAGCAAATTGTAGCCGTGATATATATTGGTGGTCAAATTGACCACCAATGCCCAAATTTAGTTTAAGGCCTTTTTACACAGGATAAGAAATGCAATATAGTTTAGCTATCAATGAAAGGTTGTTCCTGGTCATCCTCCTTATAAAAAATGGGAATTAGTCTTTTATCTTCTAATTATTGGGAAAAACTTAGAAAAAGGAAAAATCAAAACAAGTGACTTACCTCCACAGAGAAAGAACTCCAAATAAAGTATCTAAACTTAAAAACTTACCACAATTTTAACAAAAGGTAAAATTCAGCACAATTTAATTCCTTTTCTGCATCTCATTTAAGGAAGGTTTGTTATTGAAATCAACAAAAGAAATTCAATATTTTGTCCTGTTATTATTAAGGCAGTCTTATGATACTGGCTCCAAGAATCAAGTATACAGTTAAAGCCAAGTGAGACTACCAGATGATATACAAAAACACGGATGAGCATCTTATACCTGTTTTAGAAGACTGATATGTTATACTAGTGATGTTTTCATTTAAACAAGAAATCAATAGTATCAGTTACCTCCGTATGGGTTAAGATGCTGTTTAAAATTGATTTCTGGAAAACTTCTAACGTTTGGTTCATGTATAATTCTCATTTTTCAATGTAGTTAGTGGCCAAGGAAGTGTTTAAATAATATATGAATGTCAAATGCCTTAGGTATATACCTATTAAAAGGTATGCAAAATATAAATAGGATTGTATATTTTCAAAACTTTAAAATAAACACAAAGAATATATAGGTCTACATGTTATAATTTAAGGTCAACACTAGCACATAATTTTTTACCTAAATACATTCCTATGACAATACATGCACCTACAAACACATGGCCATGCACAGAATCTTGTTTTCTGCATTTGCAAGAAAGTTAGACTATACAATATTGTACATTGTTTCAACTTAAATCATTTTGGAAAGTCAATGAGGATGGCAATAAAAAAATTTAACCTAAGAAATTAAAGTACAAGGAGATAATTATCCCACAGATTAAAAACACTGAAGACCGATGGAAAGTTAGGGTTAGATTGCTTGTCCCAGTGATCTTGAAAGTTGCAGAAGAGAACAGGATTGTTTGTAAACACTCTGAATATTCAGTTTGGCAAAAGGGATGAGAACTTGTATAATCCAGCAATCCAGGCTAGATCTAGACCATCTGGGCTTCGGTTTGCAGAGAGACTTTATAGCTGTAGGCAGTCCTCCGTAAGGCTGGGGGTGCGGATGGCGATCTGGATGCCCATCTGGATGGGAGTCGGCGATTAGCTGGTCTGGCAGGTCGGGAAAATCCTTTTCCATTCGAGGCTTTCACTGCTATGGATTCCTATAACACAAATAAAGGCCACGATCTCCTTACACATGCCACCTTTATCCACAAAAAACATCAAAAGGATCATCATCACCACCACCATAACAACAATAATAAAAATGTTCATAAGATTTTCTGTTCATGGTTCCAACTGTCCTTTCAATATGTTTTCTATATTTATTTTTTTTATTATATATACGTGTTTTGCCTGTATGCACTGTGTGTGTACCTGGTGCCCATAAAGGTCAGAAGTGGTCATCAGATTCCCTGAAACTGAAATTATAGGTGGTTACCAGGACCTCTAGAAGAGCAGCAAGTGCTTTTCACTGCTGAGCCATCTCTCTAGCTCCCACAACCCTCTATCTGGCCTGCCTAATAAAGCTGATATTCTTGTACCAGAGACAGGCAGTGAGGACAAACTTGGGTGTTACTATTTTCCTTCATAGCCAAGCAATAGCCTCATTTTTAAAATTGTCCCTTTGGATATGTAAATTTAATTCAAGTTTTTCTTTTTAAAAAATGAAGTAAAGCAATGCAATATGTTCCTAAGGATCTACAGTAGAATGAAATTGAATGAATGAAACTTATGCCCTGGCAATGCTGAAGCATGCATGGGCAGCACGTATATGGCGGTTCTGTTGAACTTGTCCATATAGGGTTTCATGGTCTAAGTTGATGAGAACAACTGACCAGGTCTCTTCCTCAAGAGGGCACCAGATCTCATTACAGATGGTTGTGAGCCACCATGTGGTTGCTGGGAATTGAACTCAGGAACTTTCGAAGAGCAGGCAGGGCTCTTAACAGGCAGAGCAATCTGATCAATGAAAAAGAGGAAAAATTCAGCATCTATTCTTAGTTAATGAGAAATTTGTTTGTTAATGTACGTGTTTGTGTGTCTCTGGTCATAGGACCTACAGAGTTATGGCTTCAACTAAAATGAAGGAAAGTACAAAAGCCAAGGGATTATTTGAAATGCTGACTAATGATAATAAGTCATCTTATTTAAATTGCATATTTACATAAAGGGAATTTTGTATAAGTCTTCATAGTAAATACCAATTTTCTTGACCTCTCCCTTTACAATTAATGAAGACTGTACTCTTTTAAATGGACAAAAGAAAAAAAGAGAAGAAAAGTTTATTTAAATACCCATTCTTTTTGTTAATTTTCATGTGAAAGGTATCTATGACTAGCTGTATTTTGTAGACCATCTTTTAGTGGAAAAAACAAAGGATCTGTTTTTGTTTCTTTTGAAATTTTGAGCATTTAAAACGAGACATTGTTTTGAATGATTGCTTTGCCTTCACGTACATTCATGTTGCAAACCCTATGAGGCCACAGGTCACAAAATAGGAAAGTCTGAATCAATCATAATCAAGAAAGTGGAAGCTATTAAAAATTAATTTACTGAAACAATAAAACTTTAGAGTAAAACTGTAAGTCAACAGATATGTATTATGTTTTTTTTAAAGAAAAGAAACAAACAGCTTTCCCTAGGTTTTCGAAAGTATCTTTTGTCATTTATTTATTTGTTTGTTTGTTTGTTTGTTTGTTATTTACTTATTTTTGAGGCAGTCTCACTACTTAGGCCCCGATGGCCTGGAGCTAACTTTGAGAAATCACTCCAGTCTCAAACTCATAGAGATCTACCCATTTCTGCCTCCTAAGTGTTGAAGTTAAAGGCACAATCACCACTCGTGTCCTTACTATTACTTATTTGTAAGTAATGTACTAGATGAAGTTTTTAAAACTATACCCTCAGCTCATATTAAGATATTGCCTCACAAAGGGCCAAGACGTTAAGAAGATCCCCAACATAGGTTGACATCGTACTTATATGATCTAGAAACTAAACTTGACTTCAGAGCTATTGCTCAAGACAGATGTAGTCCCTCATTTCTCAACTGTGCTATCTTAGTTGAATCTAGTCCTTGCTCCACTTGCTGAATCCCACACTAATCCCGAGTGTTCCATTTGACACAATTCTAAACATTGACATGATACCGCCACTTACATCAGAACCACCTTTGGTCCAGTTATCTCTGAAACATCTTGAATTTTGCTGCGCAGGCCTTGTCTCTGTCTCAAAGGTTTTCAGCAGCTTTTCCACAACACCGTAATTTGATCTGGGATCAGCTGACCTCGGCCGGCTAGAAAAATTGCTTGGTCTCCAATCATGCTCATGGAACATGAGCTGATAGCTGCTGGGACTCGTACATGCCTGTATTTGTTTGACAGGGCCAGTTGCAGAGACTTTTGCGGAATTACTGAACACATTTTCTATGGGTCCAGGTGTGAGGTCACTAACTTCCAAACTACTAGTCCCACCGTCATGTTCTGGCATGTCACCTCTATGAGCAAGAGAGCTATCAAGAAGGTTGAGATCATCAGGTGATTTTGAATCATTGTGACTCTGCTGTATTGCTTGACAATTTCTGTCCGTTCTGAAGACAGTTCTGTTAAATTCATCAATCTTTGCTGCCAGCCTTTCATTCCTTGGAGTCTGTTCATAACTGCAGCTGTAACTTCTAGGTGGATCTCTCTGTGTCACTGAGGGAAGAAAGTCATTTTTCACATAAAGATCAAGCTGAGATTTATTAGGATTATCTGGAATCACCTTTTCAAATTTTGCTTTATTGGGTGGAAAACCAGTTTTTTGGGACTGCACAGAAGGGCTCTCCTTTGTACCTGATAGAGAGTCACATAACCACATATTAAGTCCAATCTCTTCATTACCTGGAGGCTTGCTATCTATTTTGACTTCTGGTGTCAAAGAGGAAACCATGGTACTATCTTTCAAATTTTTCTCTTCTTGTGGAAACAGTGGAGACTGCCTCAGAAGGAGATAAGAATTGCAGTTAGTTTTGTTTTGACTCTCATGGGCCACCCACCTGTGATATAAACTTTCCTTCAGTCTTTCTTGGGCTTGTTCAGAATATAAACTGGGGAAATTTCGAGAGGTACTTCTTGGAGGAGGAACTGGAGGAGTTTCACTTCTTTGTAAGTCAATTAAACCAATTCCACAGTTTTTCATAGAATTGTTTTGGAGTCCATTGGCACAGCTCAGATTCTTTTTCTGTTTTTCTTTCTCCCTATTGGTTGGAAGGATGCCCTGGCCATTACTGATCAAGTGGTTCCCATGAGGTACACTGATTTCATTTGGCATTTCCTGGAGAACAGAATCAGACTTCATCCTAAACAATTATAAATCAAGGTATATTAATAACATTTTTTCAAAATGAGCTTTTAAAAGAAGTCATAGTTTAAAAATGTATTTATGCTATTAGAAAAAGTCACAATTTGCTAAAATATTATGTGTGTAGTTATATATGTGTGTATATGTATGTGTACATATATATAATGTGATTATATATATATAATGTGATATATATGTGTGTATATATGTATGTATCCTAAATTAATTTATTATAAGACCTATTTATTGCTTTCTTGTAGGGTAAAGTCTTCAGTGTTATATTCATGGTTCTAACCCAAATTTTAGTCAGTGTCATCCCTTACTTTTCCTAGCATGAAACCTCATGCTAGATTCAAAATATGCAATGTAGTCTCTTGAGTTTCTGCTCTTGATGTTCCCATTTCTACAGTATTTTCCCTATCATATTCTTTTCCTCATTTTCCTATGCAAGTTCTATTTTCTATTAAATAATTCCTATGCAGCCTTCACTTTTCTCCTTGGATTTTAAATAACATTGGGAATAGTGTCAGTCTGAGTAGAGTATAATGAACACTAGGTAATTCCAAGTGGAAGGTGTCATTTGAACTTGAAAGGAAGGTAAGACTGTATTTTATGAATCAAAGAAAGGTACTAAGAAGAAATAAACTCTAGCAAAGTGTGCCCATTGAGAGAGTGAAGAGCATCCTGCATAGACTTAAAGCAGAGCGAGAGACAATGAAAGATAGTTTATGCCAAATCTTAGAACAATGTTAGTCCACATGGTGAGGCTTTAAAGTACTTTCTCAAGGTCATGGAATGACCATGGAAGCTTCACTTTTTAGTGGTTTTTGTTTTTTGGGGAATTTCACAAATATATTTTGATCATGTTTTTCATCTTCCTTTAATTCCTCCCAGATCCTCTCTACCTACCTACCTAATCACTCAACTTCATGTTCTTTTTCACCATGACAGCTTGAGATTCTATATAATTTGTAAATGGAGATGGAGAAGTCTTTGCAAAAGACATGAGTAGAGTAACAATGTGGATGAACAAACATCAAAATCACATAATAAAATAAATTATACATATTCAACTTATAAAAAGCTCCTACAACAATTTAAGATGAAGTATAGGAAACGCCCATTAACAGAGGACAGAAGGGAGGAAGCTCAATGGGCAAATGGAGTGCAGTGCACAGTGACAAACTCTGTTGCAAGTCATCACAAAGCTTCTCAGGTTCTTCACAGCTAAGTAACAATAAGAAATATCATTGTTATAAAAGAAGCCCCGGTTCCTCAATGAGCTAAATATTGATACAAAATAATATGTACTTAGCCATGCACAGAACTCCAAATTATTTTTTTAAACTTAGTTAAAGCTTAGTCTTAAAATTACATTTTGATTCTGACATAAAACCAGAGCTGGTGCCATATAGACATATAATGTGTTACTTGGAAGTACATATTCCTTTATTATATACCTAACTGTTGAGAAATAAATGACCCAGTATTAAAATATTTAAACAGAACATCTTATACTGTTCAAATACCACATTGTTAACTTTGTCATGTTTAATAACTGATTTAACTGGATCTGCCCATTTGCATATTTTTTTTCCTGCTGACACACAATGAGAAAGAACTACAGTAGAGGATACATAATCATTTATTACAGCCTATCTTAACTAAACACCAAAAGGAATATCATATTCCTAATATTTAAGTAATGAAATGGATTGGAAAATTACTTTTTTAAAAAAATATTTATTTATTTATTATGTATACAATTCTTTCTGCATATATGCCTGCAGGCCAGAAGAGGGCACCAGACTTCATTACAGATGGCTGTGAGCCACCATGTGGTTGCTGGGAATTGAACTCAGGACCTTTGGAAGAGCAGGCAATGCTCTTAACCACTGAGCCATCTCTCCAGCCCCCTGGAAAATTACTTTTAAGAATTCAAGAAATAAGGTATACCTTAAGAGGCAGTTTAGATTCATTGACTATAAACAGAATTCTTTTTTAATTTCCAGTATTACAACGATCACATGTGTACCAGCCTACCTTCTGTGGTTAGAACGCTTTCGGATTTCCTCTTGAAAGGTACACAGTTCTTCACTAACTTTTGCAAGTTCGTCAAGAGCCTTCACACACATAACACATAAAAAAGAACCTTTGTTAGCACTCAGAAGTGTTCACACTTCTTTAGAAACAGTTTCTGGCTGGTCCTATCTTACTTACTATGTTAAGAGCAACAGAACAGTTTGTACTCTCCTCCTCAGAAGGCCTCCTGTCAGCCCACACATCACATGCCTTCTCTTCTGTGGCCATCAGATTCAGAAGCCCTACTTTGCTTTCCAGGGGTACGTGTTTTCTGTACACTTGATTTCCTTCCCTGAGGAAGTCTCTTTCTACTTGGTTTTCCTTTACCAGACCATCTTGGTGATTTGTCACTCTGAATTCACATTGTCTTGAATTGGGGAGATTTGGAGGGAATTCCATTTTATTTCGAACATGATCAAGATTAATAACCTTAGAATGTTCATTCATGTTCATTTTCCTCCTCAGCTTTACTTCCTGGCAAAGCTGTAAGAAATAAAAATTAAAAATTTACTTTTCATAGTTTATTTGATCAATATATTCTTTCTTTTCTTTTTTGATCTATCTATCTATCTATCTATCTATCTATCTATCTATCTATCTATCTATCTATCTATCTATATTTAAAAGTAGAATCTCACTACATAGTCTTGAATCGAACCTCATTCTGAAGATCAGAATGACTTCAAACTCCCAAATATCTACCTGTTTCTGCCTCTGAGCAGTGGAAATAAAGGTGTTTGCTGGTGTGCATAGCTTTGATCCATATTATTGACACTGAGCAAATTATTTTGAGTTCTATTTGCAATATTACTATATACTACCATGGGTATTAATGCTTGTGCATATAGAGAATGCCTATGAAACAAGAATGAGCTAGAACAGTTGTAGTGAACCATGAAGACTAGTTTTTAGTAGGGCAAAGTAGGGATTCTGTTTTTCTGATAAGAAATCAGAATTAAAAAATGGGTTACAGATATAAACAGAATTCTCAATAGAAGAATCTCAAATGGTTGAAAAACATTTAAGGAATTGCTAACAATTTTAGCCATCAGAGAAATGTGAATCAAAATGAATTTGAGATGACCATACAGAATGGCTAAGATCAAAAACACTGATGATAGCTTATGCTAGGTAGGATGCAGAGTAAGGGACACGTTCTTCCATTGCTGGTAGGAGTACAAACTTGTACAGCAATTTTGGAAATCAGTACGGCAGTTTCTCAGAAAACTTGGAATCAATCTACCTCAAAACTCAGCTACACCACTCTTGGGACATGTGCCCAAAGGATGTTCATAGTAGTATTATTGATAATAGCCAGAACCTGGAAACAACCTAGATGCCCCTCAACCAAAAAGTGGGTAAAAAAATGTACATTTAGACAATGGAGTATTACTCTGATGTGGGATTCCCCTCTGTATGCTGTGAATAAGACTGGTTAATTAATAAAGAAAATTGCTCTGGCCTATTGATAGGGCAGAACTTGATAAACAGGGAAAACTAAACTGAATGCTGAGAGAAAGGAGGCAGTCAGAGAGAAGCCATGTAGCCCAGCTGGAGACAAACACCAGAACTTTAGCCGGTAGGTCAGGACCTCCTGGTGATGCACAGATTAATAAAGATGGGTTAAATGAAGATGTAAGAGTTAGCCAATAAGAAGCTAGAGCTATTGCGCCAAGCAATGTTTTAATTAATACAGTTTCTGTGTGATTATTTTGGGGCTGAGAAGCTGGGAACCAACAAACAGCCTCCTTTCAACATTACTTAGCAGTAAAAAACAATGAAATCATGAAATTTGCAGGCAAATGGATGGAACTAGACAAAATAATCTCAAGAGAGGTAATCAGACCTAGAAAGACAAACACAGTATATACTCACTTATAAGTGGATATTAAATATAAAGCAAATGATAACTAGACTACAACATATAGTCCCAGAAAAGCTAGGTAAGAAAGAGGACCCTAAGAGGGACATACATGGATCACCCTAGGAAGCAAAAATAGAAATCTTCTGGGTAAACTAGGGCTTGGGGGAACAAGGAGAAGGGAAGTGGGATAAGAGCATGAGGGAAAAGAATGGTTGAGTTGTGAGAGGGACAGAGAGGAGAGCATGGCAAATTTCCAGGAACCTATAAGCGTGACCCCAGCTAAGACTCTTAGTAATAGTGGAGAGGGTGCCTGAACAGGCCTTCTCCTCTAATCAAAATGGTGACTACTCTAATTATCATCATAGAACCGTCATTCAGTAACTGATGGAAGTAGATGCAGAGATACACAGCCAAGCACTGGGCTGAGCTCCTAGAGTTCAGTGGAAGAGAAGGTGGTGGTATTATATGAGCAAGGGTTCAAGATCACGATTGGGAAACCCACAGAGATAACTGACACATGCTAGTGGGAGCTCATGAACTCTGTCTGATAGCTGAGAAGCGTGCATGGGTTCAAATTAGGCCCTCTGAATGTGAGTGACAGTTGTGTGGCTTGGTCTTTTTTGTGGGGTCCCTGGTAGTGGGACCAGGATTTATCCCTGTTGCATGAACTGGCTTTCTGGAGCCCATTCCCTATTTTGGGATACCATGCTCAGTCTTGATACAGAGGAGAAGGATTTGGTCCTGACTCAACTTGATACACAAACCTTTGTTGACTCCCCATAGGAGACCTTACTCTCTCTAACGAGTGGATGGGAGGTGGGGGAGAAGGATAAGGAGGGAAGGGAGGGGAAACTGTGGTTGGTATGTAAATGAATAAAAAATACGCATATAAAAAAATAAAGGAAGTCTGGATCTGTACAGAATACAGAAGCACAATAACAAAATTACACTGACCTGAATCAATTACTGGCTATTCTCCCTAACCACTTTCTGATATAATAAGAGTTTAACATTAATAAAGTAAAATATTTTAAACATATGATCTCATATAGCAACATTAATTATCCAAAGAGCTGACAACATCATATAGTAAATCTGCATATTCTTCCCTCTAAGTAAGCCCTTATTAATTATCCCCTTTAGCTCGTCAACTGCATTATTGAGGGGTAGATATTATAGTGATATTTTTAATGACACAGTGATACATATTCCTTAAGAATGTTGTTTGTTTTTGTGCAGATTAAATTGAGTGCATAAGTGTTCCACATGATAAAACAGAGCTTGAAAGCTTGGACCATCTATTGACTCTGTTAAAGACAATCCTAAATTATTTCCTAAGGAGGCTACCTCAGTGAGAACAGCAGATACTCTGTCAGCTCACCCCTAAAATGAAGAAGGAAGTGGCATTCTCCTGAGACTTGTATCTTGCAAAAGCATGTCATTTTTCAAAACAGACCATCAAATAACTTTAAAGCTTTAAAACTTCATTTCACAAATGCAATAAATGTCTTTAATAACAACATACTTACTTGATAATGAACCATAATTTCATTTGAGAGAATGTACGTAACTAATATATTAAGAATACATGGTGCTTTTAGTTACCCAATGTTAATTAAAGTTTTAGTCACTCACCTCATTGAAGCAAGGTTGTCACCAAACTACAGCAATAAATGGATTGTTTTGATGCTTACAAAGTTATCTGTATTGAACTGCTGTTCAACAAGTGTTATTGAAGGAACAACTCTCAAAAGTACCATGTTAAATTTGAAGGTGTCATTGGTAGTGTTGTCCCCATTTAAGAATTCTTGAATAGGCTTGGTGTGGTGGTACCCACCTTTAAACCCAGCACCTGGGAGGCAGAGGCAGGAGGATCTCTGTGAGTTTGAAGCCAGTCTGGTCTATAAAGCAAATTTCCCAATATCTGGGGCTGTTAACAACAACAACAAAAACCCTCTCTCTTAAAACAAAACAAAACAAAAAATTCCTGAGTAAAAGGACAATTGTTGTATTTTCAATCCCCAAAGAAATTGTGCTCATCAAACACATGACCTTTCATTTTGCATGCTAAATATATTGGGTCTGAGAAAGTCCCATTCTTGTGTATTATATCCAATTCCTTCTGGATTCATGTCATCCTGCAAATTTGCCTTGGTACTATTTAACTTATGTGTAATTCTATGCCATTATAACTTCCCATAACTTTTCAACTTAGTTGACAAGTTAAAAGAACAACTACACCCCCCCCCCCAAACTAGTATACTGTAATGAATGGAGAACATTTTGTTTGGCATAGGGAATCTGTCCTATCTGATACTCAGTCCTTGAAAGACCATTCTTTCAAAGGACACAAACAGAAAAGATTGCAAAGTAAACAAAAAGATTTCAAGATTTCTATCAACTCAATGTAGCCATAATCATAGTTCATATGTGGATTATGTTCAAATGGTCTGAGTGCGTATAGCTTGACTCTTCAATAGCAATTGCAATGAATGTGGACAGGAGCTCAGCAGAGATGTACAAGCATCTTCATACCGGGTGCTGGATGCCGGATGCCGGATACCAGATGCCGGATGCCGAATGCTTTCACTCAGTGATCTTATTATTTAACATCACTGATGTTAGATATGTACACTCAGGAGTCTTCACTTTTCTAGCACACAGTTCAATAACCTGAAAAATTTAATACTAGATCCAAGTAACTTTTAATAAGCGTCCTGTATTTTTGAACAATATATTTGTTAAACAAAAAGCATTTGTTAGGTTTACATAATCATAATATTTCCAAGTACTGGATTTTTTTGTTTTACTTTTAAATACAAGGGTTGATTCTCTATATCCTGAGAAAATATTTCCTTGTGTTTTTCTCAACCTTTTTATCCTAGCTTTGTACTCTATAGACCATACATATACATTCGTTAGTATATATACATACATCGTTAGTATATATATATAAGATATTTACATTATGATTCATAAAAGCAACAAAATTACAGTTATAAAGTAGCAACACAATAAGTTTTTGGTTGGGGGGGTCACCACAACATGAGGAGCTGTATTAAAACACAGTAAGTTTTTGGTTTGGGGGGATCACCACAACATGAGGAGCTGTATTAAAAGGTTGACAGCATAAACAAAGTTGAAAACCACTTCTAAGTTTTCATTTTAATGCAAGGGTACCAAATAAAAGCAGTCTCAGAGACACCACTAGGTGAGGTTGTACTGACTTTGATCTAATGTTTTTTTTTTTTTTTTCTAGATTGGAGTTTACAGTATGTTTAAACTAAATCAAGCCATACCTCTTCAATCTTCTTCTGCATGACCTTCCACTGACTTTCCCATTCTTTTCTTTCATTATCAAACTGGTCCAGTAACTCCATCTTTTCCTTATGCCAGTTGGTCTCTGTGTTCTCCCACTGCTTTTGCAGGTCCATGGCAACTGTATGAGTGTCAGACAAGGGGTTTCTGCTCATCTCTGCCTTCTTTTAACTGTTTCTTGGAAGTGTGGAAGTGTTTGAATTGAAGTGGTCTCACTTGCTTTATAAAATAAAGATACAAGAAGATAGAGTCTCAAATTCATGTGCTTCCTGGAAACATCATTTTGACAAGAGTCAATGACATCATTAAACTATAGAAAACTAAACACAAAAGAAGCAAGATCTCCCTCATGTCAAGTGGGAAGACTGGACCAAGACCCAAAGCCAGGTAGTCACTGTGGGACTCCCATGTCTTAGTAAGAAGCCATACCAACCTTAAAAATGAAAAGGGTCATTATTTTACTTCCTCAAATAAGATCTCAAGTATCATGACTATTCTGTGAGACAAATTTTAAAACTTACTCATGGTCTCTTTTCTTTCATTGGGACTATCTATGTCTACATGTCTAGAATTATAACGATAGGAAACTGGAGAAAAACTTTCTTATGTTACACTAAGTAGTGACCAAAATGATTTCTAACATTCAGGAAATAAACTTTTATGGTTTGATGAGACATTTTAAAATACCAGAAATAGGGACTAGAAAGATAGCTCAGAGCTTTAGATTGCATATTGCTTACAGAGAACCCATGTTTGATTCTCAGCCCCCTTATTAAATGACGTATAATCCTCTGTAATTCCAGCTTCAGGGAATTCAACAGCTTTTTCTGAATTCTGTGGACACTTCCAATGATACATGTACATACTTCATCCCCACATATACACATAGTTAAAAATTAACCTTAAAATACCAGATACATAATTTTGTTATAAAAGTTGATATTTTATTTATATTAAAGTGAGGATATTCATAGCATTATTATGAACTTTAGATAGTATTATACATGTATAGCAATTTAAGAAATTAAAAAACTTTGGACTTTAAAATTCTTATTTTATGTGAAGAACATTTTTATTAATAAAAATAAAAGTGTGTATGTTTGTAGTGAATAGAAAAGTTTATTAATAATAAATGATTTATTTAAAATAATTATGCCAGTAAGGAACATAGAGTTATGTGTTGTAGAGAAGCCACTTGTTCGTTTCCCGGCTGCCCAAACTCCTGAAATAACCACACAGACACTGTATTATTTAAATCGCTGCTTGGTCAATTACTTAAGCATATTGCTAGCTAGCTCTTACATCTAGAATTAACCCATCTTCATTATTTTATATTTTACCATAAGGATTGTGGCCTATCAACAAGGTTTCAGCATGTCTGTCTCCAACAGTAGCTCCATGGCTTCTTTCTGACTCCACCTCCTTTGTCCCAGCATTCAGTTTAGTTTTTCCTGCCTACCTCTATTCTGCTCTGCACAGGCCCAAGACAGTTTGCTTATTAAACAATGGTATTTGCAACATACAGAGGGGAATCCTACATCAGTTATGTGTAACTCAGCAGGTTCACATGTTTAGCTTGTCAAGGTCCTGAGCTGATCTCCAGAACATGCATGTGTACAAACACATGTGCAGGCACACACACACACACACACACACACACACACACACACACACACACACACATCAGAAAGAGAAAATGAAGACCAAGCCAAAATCAAAACCATGATTTACCAGCTTACTAACTCATGGCCATATTGCTTTAACCTTTCTGTTACTCATGCACAAATCTACCAACAGTCAATGTTGCGGTGATTCTGTAATCATACAGAATAAAGTATGTATGAAAAACAATTTTGTATTCACCAAAGAGAACTGCATATTTCACACCCCGTATATTAGATAACCATGAAAGATTTTTGTTTTTGTCAGGTCTCTCCAGTCAAGATACGAATAAATTGTTATAGACTTGAAGGAATTGAAAGCATACCTTTTTGTTCAGGCTCTGCTTCTAAAAAAAAAAAAAAAAACTAAACCAAAACAACAACAAAAAAAACCCTACTGATGTTGAGATCTATATTTTCTCAAAAAGCATTTACCAATGACACTTGGATAGTTTTTGCATGTTTCCTTGGCACTCACTGTATCATTATCATTATCAAGTCAGTCAAGAAAAGTAAACAGTTCCCAATTTAGTTACAAACATGCTGTCATGAACCCTGTGTTAGTCACTCTGTTTCTAACCTCATTTTCTTCCCCAATATTACTGGATTTGCTTTTGCTACTCTTCACACCTATAAACCAGGAAGATCTAACAAAACAAAGTAAAGAATTTGCAGAATTTGGGTTTTTGTTTCGACTGACATAACATTTACTATTGTTAATTATCTGGTGATATTTCAGGTCCATCTAAAACCCATTCCCAGGAAACACAGACCAGGCTTGTTTTAAGAATGAGAGACTGCTTCAAAGCTATCTGTAACAAACTGTGACCTGGAAGTATTTCAGTGGCTATAAAGAATTGCCCCTGGGACATCTTAGGAAAATTAGGGAGGTCGAGGCATCAAGAGGAAACTATAAATTTAACTAAAGACATTATGCAGAGGGGATGGGATAATGGCAAGACAGAAAAAAGGTTTTATGATATCCCATGGTTTGTCCCAACTGTGTTTAAAAATTGCAAATACTCAGAAATTGTTCTCCCAAGGATTTACTACAGCCATGTACCAATGGGTGCAACTTTTTTTTTTCATTTTAATTCCTACCAAACCATGGGTACCTCAGAGTTTAAAGCCCTTCTATTTTTAGCTACAAGAAGATCATCCAGAAATACTCTAGATCAGTTTTATCCCTAATAATAGGAGCCTGTCAGCCCAGAAGACAATTGTGAAGGCCTGGATTTTGAGCTCCCCTGCATAGCATCAAACTGAGCTAGTGTTTCAGGGCTGATCTATCTACACAGCCTCCCCTTTCCAGAGCCAAAGGAAAACCTAGTTCGTGAAAGGTGATGGCTACTGTTGAAAATGAATGGTTTCATATCAAAAAGAAGGTTTGACCAAAAGGTCTATTTACAGCAATGTTTGCCAAAAAATTTCTTTTGTACAGAGATTTCTTTAGCTTTGCTAGCATCTCAGTCTTGTATTCATATACATATAAATATCTACTGTAACACAGAAAGAGATATTGCATTGTTCTCTAAAAACAAACTATTGGAGGGTAGGCATAGAAACATTCTGAGAAGTAAGTGACCAAGTAAGAGAATGTGCAGCAAGAATCTAAACACTACTGCTATCATAATGAATGCTTGAGAAGTGATTATTTCTTCCCTCTTGTGTTTCATTCGCCCTTTGCCTTCATCCTTTCCTTTGCCCATTTCCATGTAACCCACTTCCTAAAAAAGCTGATTATTTTGAATTCTACTTCCTTGGAAGCAAGTCTAACTGTGGAAAATTTTCTATACCCTTTGACTGCCTTGCCTAAGTATTTTTCAACTTTCTTAAGGATGTTTGCCAAGCCAAGTACACAGTGCAAAACCATTCATTGCTAGCAAAATGCTGAATAAATATATAAAACTTTTTTTTGCTATCATTCTCAATTAAGTTTTTAAGATGCCAAGCTAAAGGGTCCATTTTGTAGGGACAGCATGTTCTGTGATGAGAAGTTTCAGGGTCAAGTGGATCAGCACATTCAAAAGCTCAGATGTAGTTCTCTACACTGAAGCAAATATAAAAGTTCTCTTTGTTCTTAGCTGTCACTCTTTCCCTCCCTCAGATTCTGGCATCTATGGGGGAGGGAAGAAAAGATCTTTTGCGTTCTGCATCCTCTTTCTCATTTATCCTTGCTCTCTGTTTTATTTCAGCTTTCCCCAAGTTCATTCAGAAGAGAAGTTTATGGAGGAAATGTGGAAGGACAGAGGTAGCTGCATTTGTTAGTCCTACATGACTCCCTCCCCCAGCAGCACCAAACTGGCATTGTGTAATCCCTTTTAACCTACTTCTCCGCAACTCCAGAAGCCAAGATTCTGAACGACTGAGAGTGGTTGCGCAAGTGTGCTGATGGGAAGCAAAATGGTTCAGCTGATGGTTCAGTCCTGCTAGGGAGCAAAATTTAGGAGTAGCCAAAGTGTCTCACAGGGGATAAATGATAAAATACAAACTCTGACTAAAAACAACTTTTGGCATTGAGAAGCAAAGACGTCAAAGTAACAGCCTTGAGCAGAAGATGTACTGCTGTTGTTTCACCCACTCCCCCAGATCTGCGTCAGTGTGGTGATGGCCACACTTCTTTACCTGAGGCATGCTCAGTTCTTTCTGTGTCCTGGTTATGACCATTTCAAACTCCATCTTGTCCACTGAAAGCTGAATTTTAGCCAAGTACACTCTATGTGGAGAGGTTACTCTACTGCTACTTCTGTCTGCTCTGAGTATTTGTTCTGTGACCTTTTTCTTCCGTTCCTAAGTAGATTGCTTTTCATAGGATTCAGGTACTTCGCACACACAGGAGAATGCATACTCCAGAAAGAAGGGCAGAGGCAGCGTATCCTGCCAACTTCACATTCCCAGAAGAAATCATTTGGCCTGACAATGCTTTGCTCC